GCGTGAGGGTTTAAATGAGAAAATTCAGTATTTGTGGACACTCTACTGGTGTAGAAATGCTCAACGAAGAACACGCGTCAATCGGGTAAGTCACCACCTGGAACTTTAGGAAGAAATACTTGCAGGAGTCGCTTGGTTATGCATGCATGCTAGTTTAATTACCTTAGGTGGTATTTTTCCATGATTGAATGTAAGTAATTTGATTGTTAAGAGTATGGATGTATTATGTGAAATATTACGAAAATTATCTGAGTGTTGCTATTATGTTCTAAGCTTCCGCTTTATATGTAAATGTTTAATTCATGCTGAAAGGAGAATAGGAACTTGTGAACTCTGCGCTCCGGGATTTGACGGATGTCATGGCCCCGTTGAGCATGTATGTTTATTTTGCATGATGATGCTGGATGATAGTTGTGTGCACACTCAGTTAATTTCCACGTCCCACGAGAATGATAAAGTCTAGGGATATGTGGTTAGAGTAACAAGACACTAAGGTATAAGACCTAACATTCCCCAGTAGGCTAACAGACCACCACGGCATACGAGCCACCTCTAGAGTACCCTTAGGCTACTTGTGTGTGGATGGTGATATAGCTTCGTGGGGGACCAGCGGGTTCCTGATCAGGACTCGACTGCTCGATAGCCGTTTAGTATGGGAAACGGGATACCCACGTCGTAATTGACCGTTTAGCTGGATGGAATAGGGGAGGTAGCCCTCCCAAATACAGGGGGATTACCATGGGGCTAGGGGGTTGCAGCTCACTTCCTAGGCAAGACCCCAAGTAATCTCATACCCATGCCGAGGTAGCCACTCGCAAGGCACCAGTCCGACACGGGTTAGCATAAAAGGAACTCTAGGGGTATAAATAGAAGATCTAAGAACCAAAGAAGCCCGAAGGGGGCAAGTCCCTAGGGGGAAGCCCTAATGAGCTAAGACCAGAATCAGATGATCTAGAGCCAAAGGAAAGTCCGTGGTTGTTTGTTAAGTTTAGGGTGCGACGAGAGCCTACAAGTAGGTGGCTTACTGAGTATAATTTTTATACTCATTCCTTTTACCCTTTTTTTTTAGGTGCCGGTCGAGGTGGAGGAGCGTTCGAGAGCTGTGCGGTCACAGAGGGGGTCGTTCCGGAGCGTCAGTCCCTTGTCGGTCTTTTCGAGTCTTTTGTGTTTCATTTTACATTTGTAATTTTCTTTGTAATAATTTCGAAACAAATCTTCTCTCTCTTGTTTTAACCAAATGGAGTTTTTATCTTTTTACTTTTCTCTTCTTCTATTTTCTTTTTGTTTATTTTCGATTTCGTCTTTTAGTTCACGGTCTGATTTTCGAAGCCTTGAAAATCGGGTCTTGACAGTTTTAGCTCATTATGTATCACCATCAGTTTCATAGTTTTAAAACGCTTAGATTAGGGAGAGGTTTCCACACCCTTATAAACAATATTTCATTCCCCTCTCCAATCGACGTGAGATCTCACAATCTATCTCTCTTGGGACTCAACGTTCTCACTAGCACACCACCCGATGTCTGGTTCTAATATCATTTGTAACAGCCTAAGCACACCGCTAGTGGGTATTGTCTGTTTTAGCCCGTAATGTATCACCACCAGCTTCACGGTTTTAAAAAGTATCTGTTAGGGGAGGTTTTCACACCTTTATAAGGAATGCTTCGTTCCGCTCACCCACCTACACGTAAGATCTCACATTAAGCTAATAAATTTTATTAAAAGAATGGTTTCTAAAATGATGATAAAAACAGTTAATGTTTAGTTGGTTTTGTTGAAAGGGAAAGAAAAAAAAAGGGAAATATTTAAAATTTGTGTAAAATATTGGTTTTGTTGTCGGATAGTTGATGATGAGCAAGAGATGAGTCAGACAAAATGAAAAGTAAAAGCTTCCAACCACACCCACCTCCTAACTTCTTCCCTTTAAATACATAATGAACTCTCAATTCATTCATCCCACCAACACTCTCTCTCTCAAACTCTCTCCCAAACTTCGATCTAAACACAATGAAAACTACAATTCAAGAACAAGTTCTTGGAGCTCAAATGAAATCCTTGGCTCTTGCTCGAGCCAGATTCTTGGCTGATCCCTCCAAGCATCTCCACATATCTTCTTCAGATGATGGGTCTCAATCAATCAAGAAATGTAAGCTTAAGAACAACAACAAAAAAAGTATTCTTTTTTGGTTGAATCTATAAATAATTTGCTGATTTGGGTTCTCAATTGTTTCAGATAATGGCAAAGATTGGATCTTGAATAGACTCCACAAAAATGGGAGAAAAACCGACAATATCATCCATGCACTCCGACAACATGGTAAGCTCCTACAAACATTTGAAATTCGAACGTATCATTTTATTACTTATAAGATTGAAAGCTATCCTGACCTATCAACGTACGTGGTAGGAATGGTAGGAATAGTTTTCTCTCTTAGAAAGCAGGTGACACGATTAATGGTTCACCATTTCTTATAATTTGGGGTCGGATTTGCAGTGAAATTAGGAGCGAAGATCACAGAAACAGTGAAGGGAAAGTTGAGCTTAGGAGCAAGAATTGTAAGAGTTGGAGGGGTGAGGAAGATCTACAAGAAGCTATTCACAGTGAGTGAAGGAGAGAAGCTTTTGAAGGCATCACAATGCTATTTGTCAACAACAGCTGGGCCTATGGCTGGCCTTCTCTTCATTTCCACTCATAACATTGCGTTTTGTAGTGACAAATCCATCAAACTCTCTTCCCCAAATGGCGAAGAACACGTTAGAATTCACTATAAAGTAATTAAACCCTCTTATTTGCTTGATATTTTGTTTGATATCTCTCTTTTTAGCTAACTAATCCTTCCAAAAACTGCCTTTTTTTCAGGTTACAATTCCCTTAGGGAAAATAAGAAGAGTTTTTGAGAGTGAAAATGTGAAGAATCCATGGGAGAAGTACATAGAGATGGTGACAGTGGATGATTTTGAGTTTTGGTTCATGGGGTTCTTGAATTATCACAAGACTTTCAACTGTCTTCAAGAAGCTCTTTCTCAAGCTTAGAGAAATTGATTTTGAATTGAAGATATGTGTAAAGTTAGGGAAGTTTTTGAAGCAAATTCAATATTTAAATTTGTCTTCGAAGAACCCAAGTTTTTATTAAATGGATTGAGATGTGTTCATGGGGTTTAGGATGTCAACAAAAGTTGAAAGTTTTGTACAAATTTTTAAATTTCAATCAGAAACAACTTCTATTTTATTCTTAATTATGATCCACATCACTCTAACTCTAATCTTGATTTTATTTGCATAAATTTTGTAAACGTTTATGGATAACAATCGAAGTCGTGTTTCTAGCCTTGATTTTCAAAATGAAAGACCCAAGATTCCGTTTAATAACTATTTAGTTTTTGGGTTTAGAATTTTGAAAATTATACTGTTTTCTTAGAGTTCTTCATTAGATTTTTCGTTTTTCCAAACTGTAATAGTCCAAGCTCACTGCTAACAGATATTGTCCGCTTTGGCTAGATACGTATCATCATCAGTCTCCATGACTATCAACTTGAGCCGAAACGAACTTATCAACTCTATTGAGGGTCACATTTGGTAAAGAAAAGCTCCCCTTTCCAATGTGGTGGAAGGTTTGATGTGGAATTCCAATAAGCCTAAAAAGCATAACTTTTAAATATTATGTCTTCAACGCTTATGACTGTATTCCACATAAACCTTTTTTCTTTTCTTTTTAAACAAATCTCTCTTTACCAATTACAAGTTAGGTTTCGCGTTACTTTCTCTCCGATAATATTCATTATTCTCGTGATTTTAAAATGCGTCTTAGAAAGAAATGATTCGTTTCTCTCTCCAACTAATTTAGGACCGATTTAAATAAACTGGAGACTCTAAATCGACTAAACTTAGCTATATACGTTCTTCTTATACCCAATCCATATGCTAGTACATAGATTCGAAAATTGAAGAACCAACGGATATGAGAAAATTCTAAGTTCAATATTAGCGGAGGTATGGTTTAAAAGTAAGATAAGTTTTGACTACATATGTTCGAAAACCTTTGCTTTTGCTTTTGCTTTTTTAATTTAGAAACGACCAATCATAAAAGTCTATTCTTTCGTCTAATTATACTTTTTTTTTTTTACTATACTCTTTTATTTTTATATGGGAAATGACAAACCATAAAAGACCGCTCTTTCGTCTAATGATACCTAGTTAATCACACGTGATAATTTAGGGCTACAAATTTAGGGAAATGACCAACCATAGAAGACCGCTCTTCTTTTCTTTCCCATCTTTTAAATTATTGATTATATTTATAGTATTTAAATGACTATAACACCGATCTTCTTTCATTAATTATATATTAAATTTTGGACCAACAATTAAATTTCTATCCGAGTAAAACTTAACTGATTTAGACATATATTTGGAATAGAGATATATTGTATAGTTAATGATGTGTTGTCAAGTTTGTTGGTTCTTTCTATTTTTTAAGTTGGTATCCTATTCACTGACACCTCATTCTTAACTTAAGCTGTTGAATTTTTTGAATGTTTCAACATTGACTGTAATCCGCCTAATGGAACCAAACTATCTCCTTTTATCTTTCATCTACGTGATTCTATGAATGAAACCTAAAATAAATCCAAAGCTGAAGATTTCTCTGTCCTGTTAAGATGAAGATCTCTCTCTGTCCCGTGAAGAAGCTTGACAACTCTAGCTCAAATTCGATGTTTAGACATCTTGGAAGAAAAGTTGACAGATTCGTTAATGGAGTCTTTGAACGTGGTAAACTGTGATTTTTTTTTTCTCTTGATTTGAGAGAAATCTCTCGCTGAATTTTACTCTCTACTACATGATTATGACGATGGATTGGATCGTCCTCGAAATTTCCATTTCTAGACTTGTTTTCTACTAATGGCAAAATCCCTCCCCACAATTGTTATACGTTCATCTAAGCATTGATTCAACCAGTTGCTTATACGTTCATCTAAGCATAACTCAACCGGTTGAGCAAGAAAAGAAGGGTCACAAAGCTCGTAGAACACTAAAACCAAAAACTAACGCACTCCTGTTTGTTTCTCTGTAAACAAAGATTGACATTGGCATTCATTTTTCTTGCGCCAACGTATAACTCAAATATCAAACTCGATTCAAATGATTACTTGCTTGATGGTTACAACGGAATGATGTCGTGCAGTTAAACTGTCGCCGAACATCACCGAGAATTTGAAGGGAAAGCTGTGGTCTGGGGCAAGACTTGTTCAGTTTGGAGGAAATGAGAAGATTTTTCAGAAAATGTTCAATCTCAGGAAAGGAGAGAAGTTACAAAGTTGTTCACGCTGTTATTTGTCAACCACAGCAGGTCCCGTAGCAGGCCTCCTCTTTATCTCCACCCATGTGGTTGCCTTCTGCAGTGACAGACCAATCGTCATCTCTTCTTCAGAAGGAGAACTGGGCAGATTAAACTACAAGGTAACATTATACATCCTTCAAAATTCACAAACCCCTGTGGTTGCTAACAAGTTTTCTGTACTGTGCTTGATTCATCAGGTTATGATCCCATTGAAGAAGATGAAGAGAGTTAACCAAATAGAGCATATAAACAATCCATCAAAGAAGTACATTCAAGTGGTGACTGTGGATGATTTTGATTTCTGGTTTATGGGTTTTCTGAATTATGAGAAAGCATTCAAGTTCCTCCAAAAGAAGGTTTCTAGAGATTGAGAAGATTGATCTGAGAGGCTCGAAGGAAGTGCCATCCAGGAAAAAGTTATGAACATTGTAAAGATTCTATTGGGGACGGGAATATAACTCGTCTTAAAATATCAGATATCATCAATTTGCCAATATTTTAATCACAGATTTGATCCATCCTGTTCAAGAAATCTAAATGTTTGTTGAATAAACTTCTAATTAAAACACAAATCACTCAAACTAGAACAGCAAAAAGCTCAGATTACACAGACGCGTCTCCAAGTTAAATTCTTTATATAGCAGATCGTCGAAAGTGATAGATTTGAAGAACAATGAAGAACAATATTATTCATATCCACACTAGATAACAAATTTTCAACATATGAATGTTGAAAGAACAGAGAAGAAACACAAGCAAATGCAATATACATCCACGATCTACGTGCAAACTCTACACTATAAATTACGATGGTAATCCCCCCCCCCCCC